CTCCACCCTTTCGCAAACATTTTAAAGGCATTACTGCTTGTAACTAACTTCTAAGAAATGAACCGTCATTTCTTTAGCAGTACTATGGAGATGGAATAATAAATCTAAACTTTCTGCAGATTTCAGAATATTTGTGTCATAGAATAAAGCTTTAAATCAGAGATAGTGGTGATACTGATTCCATCAGAGCTCAAACTGTGAGAAGCGTTAGCTTTGGCTTGCTGATGCGTTTGGAGGCTTTCTTATATATTCCATTTATTTTATTCTTTTACATTAACTTTTAACCTGTTTTCCAGCAGCTAAAAATAGCTTCCCCAACATGCCCATGGTTTATGGGATCTCTATAAGATTCTCTCCCAGAACACAGGGAGAGACTGAGGTCATCTTTGTTCTGCATGTTTATCTTGGATAGCTCAGCTTTCTCACTCTTTTTTTTTTTTTTTTAAATCTAATCAGGTTCCATAATGGATGATGTGCTAAGGGAAAGATGGCCATAATCTTTCCAGACCTCATCCAGCTCTCTTTAAAAGAGGTGTTGTTATTGCCTCAAGACATGGAGGGCCTCCGTGTTTGGTGAGCTTGTGTGCCTGGCTCAGCTGCTAAAAACTGTGGAGTCTTGATGACAGCAAAGATGTGTATCTGTGGAGTACACCTATATTATAGGTTGTAGAGGAAGTAGGGAACGGGGTTGGAAGGGTAGGCACGGCTCGACTGCACTAAGATCCATGCTGTGAGGCAGCTGAAGAATGCAAATTCAGCAAGATCCACGTTGCCCCAGCAGGGATGATCAAATGGTGCCTATTATGGAAAATCCAATTAAATTGAAGTGTCAAGCAGTTTGAGAGGGGTTTGACCTGATAAGCGTAAGGGCATCATAAGGAGAGATTGAAAAATAACGTTGGTTGCCTTTAACCAATTCTGAGAAGAGCGCTTGGTGAAAAAGTACGTAGAATAAAGAGCTTACCATCTCTGTGGCTACATTAAATACAAACCGCAGCAGTGGATCTTGAAACAACAACAAAAAGTGAAGCTACTGTGGGGGATTTTTTTTATAGTGTATAGAACTTGCAGTTAGGACGTGTTGATGGCCAAGAGCTTGTATTAGCATATTGTCAAGCCTTACAATAGTGACATTTTAAAATAATGGCGTAGTGAAGTTGGAGAGTGATTCTTAATCTCCTGTGCCCTAACAGGCAATATTAATCAACAAAATGAGAGAAGCAATTCCTTTTAGAGTATAAATGAGTGAATTGGGGTGAACTGAACTTTTGTGACTTGGAGGTAAGGTGCTGAGGTTGAAGGGGAGATTGCAGATCCCTGTAAGCTTTTAACAGTTTACCTAGTCAAAGGAGCATGAACTGAAAAGGCATAATAGGAACAAAATGTGTTCCAATCTTGCTTTGAAATGGGAGATCTAATCCCTAATTATGGGAGAATCTTCTTGGCTTGGTGTGAGAAGTGCTGATGTCAAATAACTTTCTTGTGTGGCTTTTTTCTTTCTGAAGCTATAGTTAGTCAGGGACTTCAGTCAGCAGCTCCAGCCTCCCACAGCGTGCCTGCATGAGTGTTTGTGTCCATTTCTTCATGGTGAAACAGGCTGGGGAACTGATCCAGCTGGAAAACAACCTTTACTAGAAACAAAACAAAGTGTTGTGACTTTTTCCAACTAGAAAAATTCCTTGATCTAATTCTCTGTGTAGTTGCACAAACAACTTGTGCTGGCATACCGCAATGGGTAACAAATAGCCAGAGAAGAAAATGGGAACATGTGTTGGCAGTTGCGCATGGCAGAGTGGTGGCAGCTGAGATGTAGCAAACTGCAACCTAGAATAACTTTCATTTATAAGAGTCTGGTTATGATAACATTTGAATCCGTTTTCTTTTAAACGTCAGTCATTATGTCATTATTAGCAAGAGGCATGGCCCGGTAGGAACAGATTGGCGGAGTGAAACAGTACTACTGGTGCCTGCAGTGTACGCACATTGTGGTGGTGTGCCTCAAACTGGTGTTAGTGGAGGGCAGTGTGCTGAACACCTAATGGTGGCTGGAGTGCACCTTCTGATTTTGTTCCAGAGCAGATTCCTTTTGGATGAGACTGGTCCATGATGTGAACTGAAGTGCAGTAAAGGAGGATGAGGAGGGGGTGCACTTCCAAAGCATGTTTCTGCTCTAAGCTGAAACTCGTACTTTAGACTTTGTGCCTGGTATGGAAAAATAGAATTTCCTCATTGGATGAGCAGAAGGAACTGCGAGCTGAGAGGAGGACTTATCTAGCCAATAGGACTTTTTTTTATCCCTGTGGTACGTGCTCCATCCCGTATAGTTCTTAAATACATACATTTAAAGAAACCCTTTCTGGATGGAAATCTTGAAATCTGTTTCTTGATGGAAATAGAAAAAAAGAACAATGATGTCAGTAAACATAGTTTCTAAAATGAGAAGCAAATTATTTGAAAGCTGTGTTTTGCTGTATTTCAAAAGAGATTGGAATACGCACTGTCAGAAGAGGCCAGAATGGTTACAGCTCTGGTATTTTCTATATCTAATAGGGTCTAAATATGTGGATGATCATTGTACGGATCAACCTGATTTTGAAAGTGCCATGCTACTGTGATTGTGAAGTCTTTCCTTCCCTTTACCCTCTCATGCAACTGAATATCTTGCTTCATTACTTAAATACTAGTATTCTCGTCTTTTCTCTCCTTACTCTTGTTCATATAATGCAGACTTCAAATTTTTTCAGTGAAACTAGGCAAAATATAACTGCATTATAGTAGTCTGTTAACAGACCAAAAGCTTGGTTTTTTTCCCCCCTTGTTGATAGTTTTATTGGATTTGCTTATTTTTTTTTCTCAGTAGAGAAACATTCAAACTCTTGTGTCCCTTCTATGCAGAAAAGGAAGCAAAGGAACAGGTGAAAAGACCAACAGGTGTTGATAGTAGCCTCTTAGTCCCACAAATCTTAAACCTTAAAATGAATCTGAAAGTCTCTCTGCCAAATTAGTATGTTACTGAGTTTCGGTATATTTTCAGTCCGATGCCATCACACAGTGTACAGTTCCTGACTTCCAGTGAGCCTGCCTTCTAATTTCTAGATCTAGTTTCAACTTCACCGGGTTTGAAAGAGACCTACAAGTCCCTTTACATTACAATACATTTTGATCATGCTACCTTAAATAGTGCTTTGTTCACACGCTTGCCCTTGGACTAGCATTTCATGAATCACTTTTTGCATGGCAGATGTTTACATTGAAAAGGGTATATGTAATTTTTAGCAGTGAGTGTATGGAACTTGAGTGGTTTTGACATTTGACTTAGTGGCTTGATCTAAGTTCAGAACAAGATTTGGTAAATATTTCAAGTCTTTGGGTGCTTTCCTGGAAGATAAGATACATTCAGTAGCAGCAGATTTCTCTCCAGTCTCCAGATTTCTAGTTAGCCTTACTTACAAGGTGGTTGGCCATTTGTGAGCATCCTGTCTTGTAGCAAGTGAAGCTAGATACCAGAATGAGGACAAGGGTGAGCAGAAGTTATGATTCTGAGAGTGCTCTCAGGCTAATGGAGGTGGTTATATAAAAGCTTTTATATAAAAGGTGAAAAAGTGTAGGGTTAGCATATGAAATCATATTTGAGGATGTACTTGGAGGCAATAGGTTTAGAAAGATAATCAGACCTTGCTATTAATACCATTAATATCTTAGTTTTAGATGGGTTTAACTTGGGTCATGGACCCGAGTGACTTTTTCCTTTGTAACTACTGGTAATTTATATAGCTGATTAGTAGCAGTGTGTTTTTAAAAAAAAAAAAAAAAGAAATTACACATAAGTTCATTTTGATTATTTTCTGCTGTTCCTTTTTACTACAGGCTTTAAATCCTATCAAATGAAAACAAACTTTTGTTGCTAACATCAGAAATGTTTTTCCCTAGGATGTCATTGCTTTGTTTGACTTTGGATGTATCTATGTGTCTTTTTGATTATTTTTTATTCTGTAAAGGTAGGTGCAGTCACTAAATACACTTGACCAATTTAAATTGTGAACAGGAATGGTTAATACATACTGATAGTCGGCATGAGTTGGGGACAGCAGTGCTTGTAAGGCAAAGCTAGTGAGGCAGAGTATAGGAACAGGAATCTTTTTGAAGGTGATGTGAAGAAATTACCATTAATACTAACATAGACTTGGCTTTGAAAATGACTTATTTAAATTTATTTTTTCTTTTCTTTTAGAACTGAGTTGGAGTTGAGGATGGTAAGGAGGAACACTTACTCTAGTAAAAGTAACCAGCTAATAGTGTGTGGGTGTTCGTGTGCGTGTGTGGGATGATGTCTTTGTTCTTAGCAGACAGTGAGGAATAATACCGTAATGGTTATGGGTTACTGATGCTGAGAGTACAGAGGGAGAGAAAGAATTTATATAGGGGATGTTTAGGACAGGAGGAGGCAGCTAGTGAACCTAGTGCTTTTGATTTTAAACAACTGCTCCCAGAATAAAGATATTTAAACCTTTGTCAGTGATGTTTTTGCATGTTTGTTAATTTGTTCTGCTTGCAAGTTCAAGATCAGATGTTTACTGACAGGTGGCAATTATATTCCCTGTGTGTGTGTATGGTTTGTTTTTTTTTTTTAGTAAGTTATGTATTATAAGCAGTTAAAGACTTGGAGAATGGGTATAGCACTTGAGCTACCTAACGTGCCACTTCTCTTTTGAGAAAGATCTAGTGACAAAACGAAAGGGTAGATTCTCTCTTAGAATGGCAAGCAATGCTAACCATACAGAACAGTATGGTAAGTATTTGCATGCTTCATGGGCTGTTCTAGTTCCCCTAGCTAAGACTTTACTAGTAGCTTAAAGGAGGGGAAAACTTGCATCTTTGTCTGAGACAAAAGTTTCTGGGTGGAATCAGTCTAATTGTAGGAAAGTGGAAAATGTCATCTTTGCTACATACATATGATTTTCATTCTCCTTTTAGAGAGTTGTGACCAATGAAATTTCACTAGGAATATTGCTTCATGAAAGGAGCCCTGTAATCTGAAATGCTAAGCAGCACTGGTCACGTTCTGAGCGGTGTGCTTGCACGTGTGGGTACGTGTCAGTGGTCCAATTATTACAACACTGCAGTTGTGATGTACACAAGAATGTTTCTGACTTTCTTTTTCTGCCCCAATTTTACAGAAAAGCAGACATGATACACTGACGGCATTTGGAAATAGACTTTGGCGATAAGATGGAAGCCTAAATCTTGAGACTTTAAACCCAAACAGAAATGGCTCATGAGTATTGAAACAAGACACCGAAGAGCCTCCAACACTTCAGTGTGAGCAGTGGAAAAGGAACAACTACCATGGTAACACTAATAACAGAAAAGCTGCAGAACCAGAGCTTGGATGATCTGACGTGTAAAACGTACAATATTAATCTGGTAAGGATATGCCAAAATAACATGAAAATGTGCAATGCAAAGTAGCTTAACCCAGAAATACACACCAAATTTAAGATTGCAGATGGACCAGAATTAAGCCATTTAAACTGGGATGATTTTACAAGGTGGGTGAGTGTAATGCACTGTAGCACGAGGCTCGCCTCACAACATGGTTTCATTGACTTTAATTGCAATTGCAAATGAAAATGTTCAACTCTTCTGCAAATCAAACTCGAGGGATCAGAGACATGAAAAAACGAGGAATGTAAGTTTAATGATGACATGTCAAAGTATTGCTCAATTCTAATTCTGTTATTTTTTCTTTTCTAATACTAAGTAACACTAGCATTTAACGTGGGACATGTTGAGCTACTTTACAGTAAACTCCTTTATAACCTGTACTTCAGTTACAGTTTCTTTATTTTACTCCACAAGCCAAGACCAGGTCAATCATATACTGAATGAGGTAGAGGTTGTATATGAGCAACACTTAATTCTTGTGCGAAGTGTTTAACTCTTTGTCCATATTGAAGAAAAGCACCAATGTTTTCTGTGCACACATGTAAAACCTGGCACAAAAGTAAGGGTGTCTGATATGAGATATTAATCTGAAGGGTTTTTTAAACTGAAACAGTTTTATGAAGAGCTTTTCTAATAACTTGCATGTTTCTACAGTCTTTGCCTGAAATATGTGCTGCTCTTGAAAGGCATATGTAAGGTCTTGGAAAGATGATATCTCCCCTAATATAGAAATGCATGCTCTCAGCTTGTCTTTATTTAACTAAGTTGGTGAAACACTTGACGTGCAGGTTGAAGGGGAATCTGCTGTATTTTTGAGCTGATGGCATTTCTATTTAAATTCTAGACCCAGCTGTGAGTAGACAATGACCTGTAATGGTTGCCTCCCTAAAAGTGTAGCAGCAGCTTGTAACTTGTAATGTTTGGGACAGATCTGCATAAATTTGGACGCTGAGGTATACCTTTTCTGGTATTTACTGTAGCTTTTGGGCCAGAGACTTGTAAAAGCAGAGAAGGCTGTATTATTGCTTTTACGCTGCATGGAGTCTATATAGACCTGTGACCCTAAATGTACATGTTCTTTGTTTAGCCTAATGGCATGCTGTTATGTGTTGTGGGTTTTTTCCTTTTTTTTTTTTTATTCTTATCCTTATCAGTACTTCAAAGTAAGGCAGGGAGAAGAATGAGCAGATGGAAGTGGAAGTTGGCAAGTGTTCCGTAGTTAGTGTGTTTTTTTTTTTTTTTTCCTTCATCCTCTCCTCCTGACCCTTAGTGCATTGTAAAAAAGTACTTGGTTTGAGAATGCTTTAGTCAATGAAGAAAATGAGTACTGAGGCTGGGAACAGGTTCTACCTATACACAGTGGCAGCTTGAAAAAGTGTGGAAATCATGAAGTGAGGTGTAGAAATGCAGGACTGAGTATGCAACTAGGTCATTTTAAAAAGGATTCTCAGGAGCAAATAAATGGCTGATTTACTAGTGGAAAGAAGTTTACCTTTATTAACTTTATTCGAGATCGTTACTTAAGGATTGTGTTGAATTTAAGATGTGACTTAACTAACCCTTTCTCCAGATGCTGGAAAAGGTTGTATGCCCACCTGCTTCTCCTCCCTTCTTCCTCTCTCGTTATATCTGGAGGATGTTTGGTAGAGAACTGAAGGCTTGGAATTCAGGCCTATTCAAACAATGAAAGTCACATCTCTGTAGTGGCGGTGGAATACTAACTCTAGCTTTGGTGTCCACAAGTTGGGAAGAATGGCAATGCGTTCAGAATTCCTCCTCAATTTATTTGAGAATTGGAGAAAATCTTAATCTTCAAAATCTTAGATTTAGTTTATGTCTTGAAATGAGATGAAAGAAGTTATTTAACTTCATGTAACTTATTCTGCAGATAGTGAGGAGAGTACTGGCTGTTAAGTTTTTAATGTAGTAGGGGGAGTGTGTGTACAAAAACAGCCTAAGTTATTTTTGTTACAGTTAATTTTTTCTAACAAAGAATGCTTAAAATTAGCAATGTAAGTTATAATAACACAATGCCCGTTATAGTAACACAATACGTTGTTGGGCCCAGTTATGGCCCTCCTCCGCTTGCCTAGTTCAAGACTGGGTGCCCTTTTGAGTGAATGCTTTGACCAGGTAAAAATTCCAGCTCTGTCTCATTCCACAAAATCTGATCCCTTTTGAGCATAATCTCACCAAATGCAGGAAGAGCTTACTTTTGGAAGAGCACTGCAAAATAGACCCACCTTCTTGCCTGAAGGAAACCTAATTTCATTCTTGAGTGAAACTTATGATTTCGCAGTGTAGTGTCTCTTAAGCTATTTTAGGACCTGCTTTTTCCTGGAAAGTTTTCAAGATGCATCAAATCTTGCTCTAAATCCATTCAAAAAGTAGTAGCTGGTAAACAGACATTCATGACCTGTTGAGTCTATTATTCTGGAAAATTACCTGGTTGAATAACTTGGCTTTGTGTGAAAGGAGGTTTCCCTCACACAGAGGGTAACAGACTTCACTCTCAAGGTTCTTACCAATTGCTTTGTGAACTCTGCTTATCTTTTCTCAAGTATAGTAATAAAAAAGGGTTCTCCATTCCGGAAACTGCAGGTAGACCTTAACGCAGAAGGGAATGAATGGGGCAGGTGGTGTCTAGCCAATCCAGGAGAGCTGGTAAACAGTTTTCAGTGCCCACTTACAGTAATATCTAATGGCCCGTACGAGACCTTTGTGTTCTGCATAGATATAATCTCTCCCACAATTTACAACTTAGTAGAGCCTACTCCAGTTTGGATTTTAAGATATCGTTAGAATACGCTATCATATAATGTTTCCAAGCAGTCTTAGCTTCAGTTGTGGAAAGCCAAGTACGTACCATGACAGAGATTCCTCCCTTATTTTCTTCAGGCTCCTGTTGGAAATCATGCACCTTCCTTTCCCTCTTCTGAATGTGATGTCATATATGACGTTCTTTTAATTACCAGGATTTTTGCCTCAGTTGCCAAAGAATTAGCATTTGCTGTAATTTAACAGAATTCTGTACATTTGATCACTTATGAGAACGAATTGTTATAAGTGATAAGAACTTTTTGTTCTACAAATTGTTCTGACTGCTTTTCTGTGGAACTGAGCACTGACTTCACTAGAAGCTAATCTAATGTGGCTGTAAAGGCAGGATGGCTGTCTGTGTTGAAGAACATGGCAGTCATGCTGGGTAGTACAGATAAGGTCTGAATGTATGGGGCTCCCCCCCCCCCCCCCCCCCATCCTCTTTAAAAAAGCTCTCATTAGTTTGTAACTGGCAAAGATCCGATGGTTTACTCTCCAGTTGGGTAAGGCTTTTATAACGTGGTTAGAATGCAGATAATCAAATGACTGTGTTTTATAAAGACTTTAAACTAAATGGATCTTTTATCAGGTCCTCTTTACAAATGTCTAAGCATTCATCTAATGTGGCCACGTGGGATTGATCTGAAGATTTTGTTACTTCTAGACATGAGATCTTAACCTGTATGAATAGTCTCTAAACAAGCCTAATAATTCTTTTAAGTCATTCTTATTGTCCTTTTTGTGTGGTTCAAGATACATTGCTTTAAGACTGTCTGACACGGTATTCTGTTCTAAAAGTGCATTTTTCTTAACTATTATGTGGTAGTTGAATAGACTAGTATTGCCCTTAATTTGGGAATAAATTGAGGAGAGAATCCCTTGAATAACCTGCCAGGTCTCTTAAATCTATCAGTCTGCTTATCCTTCAGGGAAAGCTGAAATTAACTCTTGCTGTTTTGTCTCAATGTGCTCTTATGTTACGTATGGTACCTTACTAGTTTGTTTGAGTAAACTATCAATACTAGCTTTATTAATGCAGGTAATCTATATAACTAGCAACTGCAGTTATAAAAGGCAAACTAGTAGGAACAGCAGTCACTTTTACCGCTGTTGTCAGGTTTCATATTTCAAGTCTTTTAATGTCCATGGGATTTGCAGTTTTGTTAGCCCTTTCTAAAACTCTGGGTTTCTGCTGTTTACTTCAGAAAAGTTTTTTCTTGAAGCTGTAAATACATCCACAGTTGCAAACGTAAAGCATGAATCATAGCAATGGCTTGTCTCTTATATGCAGACTTTGATAAGCAAGATAAAAATCTGATTGCTGTCCTGTCCTTTCGCCAGTACCCTCGTTCCCTATCCCAAAACAAACACAGCAAGGCAATATTACCGTAGATTAGCACTAGTATCTTAAGTGTGGAGTTCAAGGATTCAAAGTTGTTACTTGCACACCATCTGTTCGTATGTACCACAGAAGAAGAGCTTTGTAGGCCAAGGATATTTGTTTAAAAAGTGAACTTGTATCTGGAAAGGAAGTCTATATACAGTGCTACCTCTTTTTGGCTATACAAATAAAACAAGCTTGTTCTTGTTTTAGCAATCTTCTTCCCCCGTTCTGAGGTGGTGATGGACGATAAAGAGCAATCCTTGGGCTCTGATAGGGCCTTACATCTATAAAGTAGTTATAGGAGACTGGATAGCAAGATGTATTCTGTGCCTGAAAAATCTGGACAGTATGAGAATGCCTTTTGAATATTGCTTTTCCTTTAGATAAAGTAAATTAAAAAAATGGAGAACTTCCTGCTTACGACCTGTCTTGATATGCAGGAGCTACTGACTGAGTTTAATCTTAAATTCTGAAGGCCTTCACGTGGAAACCTTGTTCTAGGCATGACCTCTACGTTGCTTATCATTAATAAGACGTTACTAGTAAGCCCATGTTCTAAGACTGTAAGCCGAGTTCTAAGACTGTCTCATCTTTTGCAGGTATCACGTTCTTGGGTAGGAAAGTTAGATTTTGTATGGCTTTTGTACTTTAAGAAATAAAACGTTTTGATGTTATACTTAATTTTAAAAATATAAAATGCTAGTGAAGTTTGCTTTGAAGACTGTTCCATATTGGGCCTTCAACAATTTGTATATTAAATTTAGTTAAGGCTATTTCTGTCTCTTACTTTAAGGTAAAGTATTCTACTCTTTTTTCCGAGATTGAAAATGTAAAACCCAATTGTCAGATTTTAATTTTCTCTCCACTGAAATGAAAATTGGATCAAAGCTGTTTCATTAAGAGTGAATTATTTCTCTTAATTCTGTATTTTGTGTGAGCTGTTGTTGCAACTCTTGAAACACTTTGATACCTAGTGATATATCAGAAAACATTTTCAATTAAACCTTTGAAGTCTAACTATTTTTTTTAAATGCCAGCTGTTTAAAAGCATCTTCGAGATACCCAACAAAACCCAGTCCTTTAACGAGGATGTTAGATGCATAGGGAAACTGAAAACTGCATGCATATTCCTTGAGGTGCGTGCTGGCTGTCTTTCACACAGTTGAAACTTTTTTTTTTCTCTGATTTCAGTACTCATCTGAGAAGTTGAACAAAAGTGGCAGCTTGTTCCCTTTCGAAATCAACGGTAAGTTCTTCACAAACCTTAGGCACGTTTTTACTGAGGTAATTGGTATAGTAAGCAGCCTTTCTTTTGTAAATAAGGTGAGGGGGATGGAGCACGCTGTTGTAGAGCCTGCTGGTTTAAGCTGGTCTTTGAACAATACTGGGAATAGCTGGTTGTTAGTTTTGTACTTGTGATCTGCTTTGCATAGTAAAAGGCCTTGTAACGTTTTTTTTTTGTTCAGTATCGGCTGTGGTGTACAGATGCACAGCAATTGCTGTTTTTTATGCTAAGCATCTCTTTGCAAACCTCTACTAGCAGACAACTCTAACCTCTTCACACACCTTCTTATATGCTTTGCCAAACAGAATATCCTGCATGGTGCAGATTAAGTTGAAGTCCAGTGTTTTGACGCAAGCATATAAGCCTTTTGATCCTGTTAGAATGACAGTAAATTTTACTTAACAAAAATAAGAATGCTGCTTATTGATGTGCAAAAAACTTTTAAATCCCTCCCCTAGTAAAACAGTACAAAAACTTTGCATATTTTGTGTCTTTTAAGCATGGTAGTCTCTTATTTGCTCAATGGGACTCCTCTTAAAATGTTATTCTTAGTTTGTGTGAGGTTCCTGAGGGAAATGATATTTTGTATAATACCTTATTTGATAATATGTGAGCAATTATAACACTTGCATAAAACTCTTGAGTTTTTTTTAATGTAAACTTTAAATGCATTCCCTCAACCTTGGAGAAAGCTTCCTATGGATTTTTAAAAACTAATGCAGTCCAAGCTAAGTGTTCCAGCAGTAGATAGAAGTTTCAGACAATATCTAGATCCTATTGTGTTGGTTATTTTACTTGCATTGAATTATGGATGGTCCCTGCCTTGAAGAGCTTACATGCTTAAGGCAAAGCACAGTATGTGGTTGTACCCATCTGAAAGAATGGAGAAGGAAGGACAGAGGAATTCTAATAAAACATGTTGTTTGAATAGACCAGCTGTCTGCGGAGTTAAATGATTTTGAGACAATAGGGTGTTCTCTAAATAAGGTCCAAATAAACAGGATAATCCATGACATACTTTGCTGGCCATGGAGCATGTACAACTGTTTGGGTTTGTGACTTTTGAAGCTACTCAACACATCTTTAATCTGTTGGTTATTCTCAAACTCTTAGCTTGTAGAGCCAACTCTCAGAAAATAAAAATATTAAATATTATACCATATTCTAGATTCTTAAAATATACTTAGGGAGAATTTGATGATTTAATGTTTCAAGTCTTCTCTTAAGCCTAGGATAACTGAAACTTACTTGGCTAATTGGTTTAAATTAGCAAATTTTCTAACCAAGCATGAAGCACTGGTAACTGGCCAACAGTTATGCTGCTTTTCAGTTTGCAAATCCAAAGTCTGTTGTAGTTCCTCTTACATTTTATTGTGTAATGTGGAGGAACAGCTGTAAAATGTGCTAAATATTCTCAAAGAAAAGCTTCACAAAGGAGTGAGCGGCTTGGCTGGCAGGCTTTTTTCTAACCTAGCGTCAATTCAGATGAGAAGTTGTGCATTATTGGCTATGTCTGTATTCACAGTTAAACCTTGCTGGAGGATCTTAAAGGCTATTCACTTTATTTACACCTTAAATTAGGATTTTTCAGACACTTTGTGGGTATGAGCAAAAAATGAAATCGTTTGCAGTCTGAAATAACTCTATTGTTTCTAATTTAAAGCTTTTCACACTGTAGAGCATGAATGCCTATCTCTTTAAAACTTCAATTTCAGTGACCAGCGTGTGCCTTTCTTTA